ATTCAGACAGGGATGGAAGGAGGGATGAAAATACTATTGGAAAAATGGGTAAAAAATCCATATTTAAAATATTAATTAGTAAAAAGGACCTAATATATTTTTACGCATAACAAATATCGATATTTTACAGAATTTCAGACATAAAAAAATATACTGGTACTCCAATTTAAGTTATTTTAACAATTAAATTCTCTAAACAACAATTTTTTTAAGGGATTTTTCCTATAATATTCCATGATAAAAGAAAAATAAAAAAGTGCGGGTGAGGTGACTGGGAAAGAAGAGAATAAGGTAGAGTAGTCCAAGAGAACGTGGAAGAGAATTATTTGGGCAGGGTTAGGAGGAATCGTGAGAACAAACAAGGACCTGCCATGAGCATGCTTGAGCCCTGATTCACTGTTTCAAACATCTCAAAAGCCATTTTTATTCTTTCTTTTCTTCCTTTAATTTCCTTCTCTTTATATATTTCTATCAACCTGTACCATTCCTTCATAAGTAGCTAGTCAGCTTATGTTCATTCATTGAATCAAATCAAATCAAACTTAAAAAAAGACATCTCTTTTCGCTTTCCACAGTTCCCCCTTTTTGACAAATTCACTATCTTCTGAGCTCACCTATTCCTCTCTACATAGCTTCTCTGACCTTTTACCTTTCGCAACGTGAACGGTTATACCCACAAATTAAATACACACCTCCCTCCCAAATAAGGAACCACTTACTTGTTGACCATTGTCCATTGATGTACTTAATTATTCAGAAATTAAATCAGTGTGCTTCGCTATCCAGAAAACAAAATGGAAGAAAAACAGGGTGTTTTCATGACCAAAAAAATGAAGAGTCTTGACAAAATTAATCTGCATGTTCTTACACTTTCACGTGATTTTAACAAAGTTTGTACTGTTTTTTTTCCCTTCTTATCAGATTCTTATTGTTTCACCTAATTTTTAATCAAAGCTCTGTAATTATTTTTCCCTTTTAACAATCACTGGAAATTATTGGGATCAAATTAGAAACTAAATAAAACTATAAAAACTTAATACGAAATAAAAAAATATAAGAACCTGATTAAAATTAGATAGACTACCGGTACAACATATAAAAAAAATTACGTGTTAAGAATAAGGTAAAATTATAAGAACTTGTTGATTCATTTTCCTTAAATTTTTTAAATTCATTTATGCGCAATAGTCGTCCCTGGGAGTTTATCGTTCCAAACCAAACCTCAAACATTAAGGACTGGCTCTTTTTTTTTTTAAGTATAAAAAAATTTAGGTGAGATGGGCCTCACAAACTCATCAAGACTAAAACATGTCTTTAAATTCAGAAAGAGCTTGGAGGGTTACTTACATATTGCTCACTAATAACATCCTCATATTGGTAGTAAAATTCAAATTCACAACCTTATAGATTATGAGCTGACTTTTTATTAACCGGGCTAATTCTTGTTAGTATGTTAAGGACGGGCTTGTTTTGCCACGTGTGGGAGATGGGTTCATGACTTTACTCCTTTTTGGGGAATTAAAAAAAGGTTGAAAATGATTATATCTTCAAAGTATCATATTTTGTGAAAAGTATGCTTAAGTGAATTTTATATTTCCGTTCACCGGAAAAAAATTATGATTCCTTGACAAAGCCAAAGGAAAAAATATTGTGTTTTTCTTGTGCGGACTAATGACGATAACAATGGTCATCACATTTGACCCGCCTAAAGTAGATTTGACAAATAATTAGATCGTCGGTGTTTTTTTTTATAACTTATGAATATGTTTTTCTGATTCTTAATATAAGATATATTTAACTAATTTAATTAGATTAAATAATTTACTTAATTATAAAAAATATGATTTTTTTTCAAAATACTATAATTATCTTCTTTAATATCCCCACTATATCTCCTATTTGATCATAGTTGATTGAGTATTAATAGGGGTAATTTAGAAAAAAATTGATAAATATAAAAATTAGGTCTTATATTTAGGACCAAAATCAATTTGATAATTAAGTTCTATATTAATGACTATAGGAGTATCATTTCAAAATAAATCAAACTGTTGAAGATTTTTAAAAAAGAATACTGCACTCAAGTTTACCCTTCATTTGCTGATCTAAAATGATAACTTTGATTAATTATTTAAGGAGACTAATCATGGTTTCCTTAAAGCATAAGGCGCCACTTAAAGCTAGGGATTACACTAAATTCCGTCTGCTTGTTTGTTTTTGCGTGTGTGTTTTAAATGTACGAAACTACGAATTACAAAACCGGACTTCAATTCTGTAGAAGCCAATTATTTCCTCAAGCTCGCTAGAAAGTTCAGCATGTAAATAACTGAAATAGAAGCGTTCATGTTCATCCTTTTTGCAATCTTCACGTGGGGTAAATGTTTCATACACCCAAACACAAACATGAAAAATTAAGGACAAAATAGATAATGCTTTGGGCAAATATTAGTCAAAATTAAAATTAGGCATATTTTATGTGTATTATATATTGCAGAGGGTTTGAAATGAATTGTGCATATTATATATTAATTGTTCCTTTCTTTATTACTTGCTTTGATTACAGAAAAAAAAAATGCAAATCTTCACATCACGCCTATTCTACGGAAGCATGATCCATATGAGTGACTATTATAATGAACAAGAGGCAAAAATAAGTGCTAAACTGATGGAGAAAATAATTAATGTATCCCCTAATCTGCGGGTAGCATCATATAAGTGTCCATTATTTTAGATACTCTTTAAAATAAGGTTGTGTTTGGTAAAAAGCATTGAAAATGAGGAATTGGGATTAGGATTACAATTGAAAAAATCTATTAAGAGAGTGTTTAGTATAAGAGATTATTTGATATGTGGGATTAGCTAAAGCCATGTATGTGTGATTGGAGAATACCATGAAGGGAAATGGTATTCCCCAATCCCATCTTTATAGGTTTGCCTAATCTCATATAACAAACAATTACTCGTGTTAAGTATTACTTTAATGATTTTTTTCAATTGCAGTCACTATCTCAATCTCTCATTTTCAATGCTTCGTACCAAATGGAACCTAAGTGTCATATTAAGTACTCCTCCGGTCCTTAATATATAACCCAATTCTTGAGTTAGTTTTGGTCCTAAATATAAGACCCATTTTTCATGTTTATCAATTTTCTCTAAATTATTCATATGGATACTCTCTCGACCATAATCAAGTAGAAGGGGGAGATGAGATATTAAGAAAGATGATTATGGTGTTTTAGGAAAAATGTGTCACTTTTCTTATAATTAACTAACTTCTTTAATCTAATCAAATTAGTTAAATAGGTCTTATATTAAGGACCGGAAGAGTATCACCTTTAAGAATACTGTTGCCGTTCTGTTGTGTGTGTGTGAAATTGGCTATAAAATTCATATAAACAGTTTCATAAATCATAAATATTAACGTATGATACGTAAACCCTTTTAATTTCGCAATTCTATAGTTAAATTAGGCTTCGTAATCTAATTTTTAGTCTTTACTTTTCGAGTTAATTAATATACATAGAAGAAATGATGTAATTGTATTAAAAAAAATTAAACCATATCCACCAAAATTATGAAATAACTTTTCTTTGCCATCTACTACTATAAAATAACAAATCAATAACGAAGGAGAGTCACATTACGACATCATTCACAAATAATTAATGAATATTCCTTTTTCCAGCATCCTTTTTAATATATTTTATATTAAGTTAACGCCAACAATATTTTAAATATGAGATCACTTTATGGCTAGTGTGTCACCAAGCTTGGCTTGCCATCAGCATCTTTAATTTCAGTGAAGTCTAAATTAAGAAGACGGGCATACTTAAGAATTAAATAAATAAATAATAATCTCTCTTTTATATAGCACGTACAAAAAAAAAATCTAAGTTTTAAAATGAAATTATCAATAACATGTGTGTGTGTGTGTAAACCCTCTCCAGTTATAATCCGGCCTTCCAATATACGCTTTTGTGAGCCATAAGCGAGAAGAGTCTAGAAGGACAACAATATTCCCCTACCTAAATACCTAATTATTAATTATATGGTCCAACTTCTGTACTTGCTATTTATATTATTCCCTGAATTGTCTCTTGTTTTTTTAGATTGATGAGATTTGTTAGCATCGAATAATCAAGGAAACAAAACGTATCGATTATGTTGCACAATCGCTTTGAACTTTTTTTTGTAAAAATTGTGTTAGAATTTCACCCAAAAAAAAAGAAAGTTAAATATAAAGTTGTGACTCAATAACTAGATAATAATTGAACAAACTATATATGAAAATAAGTGAAGCAAAAATTCATATTATAATATCAAGTGACACGAGTTGTTACATGATTTGCAATGGACCACTCACCAATATAAAAGGAAACAGACAGCATTGATCTTTTCCCCGAAAAAAGAAAACAGTTTGGTTCATAAGATGAGGTGATCATGAAGTAATAAGCTTATAAGCTTGTCTAACAGGGAGTTAAAAATAATTTAAGGTCTCTGAAGTCTGACTAGTGGAATATCAATGGGCATCCAATTTGGTGATGACATAACCAGTTCAGTGGAATGAGAATTTCTGATGCATACAGCTCGTCACTTAACAACACAGACCAATCACATATGTAATTAAACTAGATAAAATGAGTTATCACCATCATCATTGTATAATATGAGAACAAAAAAGAAAAGAGGGTGACAAAATGTGTAGGAAGATAAAGACGAAGAAAACAGAAGTCCCACTGGGAAATAATGGTCGATCGTAATCATGCCAAGGAACCACACAACTGTACATGCTAACCTAACAGAAGAGCAATGCCTTTCAACTTTTGTATTTTAATGTTCTCTCTGAGTGCATTAATAAGGACATGTAGCCGACAAATGTCAAACCACCACGTCCCTTCCCTTTCCCCTCCAAATAATCACCACAAACTCAAAGCACGATTATTATTATCATCATATCGCCGAGTTTAGGGGCTACGTACAGATTTCAGATTGGATCCATACACTTTAGACATATGTGTGCACCATCACAGTCTCGCCCAGCAGACTCTTCATCCTGAACCCCAGCTGTTTTTATTTTATTCATTTCTTTCTCAAAAAGCGATGCCCGGGGAATCTCGGCACAAATCTTTCACAGATAACACACAGTCACATAAAAAGATACACATGGGGTCCCCCCCTTCTCTCCCTCCATTTTTAGTCTCCTCTCATCCCTTTCACCACTACAGTTTGTTTCTTCTTCTTCTTCTTCAATCTCTGCCTCGCCTTCCAAAACCAGCACTGTTCACATTCTGAACTCATTATCACGCAGCTATGGGAAGCTCTCTTCGTGTCAGGGAAGTTGTGGTTGTAGCCCCTTCTGCCTCAACCCCTTCCGATGTTCTTCAGCTCTCTGCTCTCGATTCGCAGCTCTTTCTTCGCTTCACCATTGAGTATCTCTTGTTATTCCGCTCATGTCCTGGCTTGGACCTCGCTGCTACATCGGCTGCTCTGAAATCAGCATTGGCTCGGGCTTTGGTTCCTTATTACCCTCTCGCCGGCAGGGTCAGGGCCAGGCATGATGGGTCCTGTCTTGAGGTGGTGTGTCGAGCTCAAGGTGCGCTTTTCATCGAGGCCTTTACTGATCGTTTTTCGCTCGGCGATTTCCAGGATAAGGCCCCCAAAACGGTGACCCAGTGGAGAAAATTCCTGTCCTTCCCCGTCGCCGACGTTCTCAAGGGATCGCCTCCTCTGGTGGTTCAGCTTACGTGGCTCAGAGACGGTTCCGCCGCCGTTGGCATTGGGATCAATCATTGTATTTGCGACGGTATAGGAAGCGCCGATTTTCTCAACCATTTCGCCGAGTTAGCGAGATCCTCTGTCCTCGCCGACCCACTGAAACCCGCACTCAAACCCGTTTGGGATCGCCACCTCCTTACTTCACCATCTATGAACACGACTGAGGCCACGAACACAACGATCCTCCCAGAGTTCAACCGAGTTCCTGATCTCTGCGGGTTCATGACTCGGGTTTCGAGCGACCTGAAGCCAACCTCCATTACCTTCGACAAGAGTCACCTGGACCAGCTTAAGAGCATCGCCCTCGACACGAGTCGACTGGGCGAGTCGTCGTTCACGTCCTTCGAGGTCCTCGCGGCTCATGTGTGGAGGAGCTGGGCCAGAGCATTGAACTTCCCGGCGAACCAAACACTGAAGCTGTTGTTCAGCATCAACGTGCGGAACCGGTTAAAACCGGGTCTGCCCGACGGGTACTACGGGAACGCGTTCGTGCTGGGGTGTGCTCAGAGCAGCGCGAAGGAACTGGAGGAGAAGGGAATCGGATACGGGTCGGGCTTGGTGAAGAAGGCGAAGGAGAGAGTGGACAACGATTACGTGAGGAGGGTAGTTGAGCTGGTGTCCGAGTCGAGAGCGTGTCCTGACTCAGTGGGGGTTCTAATAGTGTCTCAGTGGTCAAGGCTGGGGCTGGACAGAGTTGACTTTGGGATGGGGAAGCCGATGAATGTGGGGCCCATATGCTGCGACAGGTACTGTTTGTTTCTGCCGGTGAAGGATCAGAGCGATGCCGTGAAGGTGATGGTGGCCGTCCCTACCTCCGCCGTTGACGATTATATCCATTCCCTCACACTGCACTAACGAGAACCCACTAATTAAATACCCTTTGACTTTGTTTTTTCACCTTCTTTTTTGTCATTTTAAATAAAAATCAATCACAGAACCAACACAATTTGATTTCAAATTCCTCTTTCATAGTAATTTTGTCCAATCACCAGTTCCGACATGGACATCGATGCTCTGGGGGGAATGAACATGACATAAGGCAGACTCATCAGTGATCAGGCTCTGCTTTGTCTGTTTCTGTAATTATAGTATGAGAACCAAAATATGAATGAAAATCATGGCTAGCTTTAATGAAATAATTGATGGGTCTAAAAAAAGGGAAAGAGAGAAAAGATTCTGGTTAGATTTTTTTGCGAGGAGATATTGAAGTATGAGATCAGATTGTGTGAGCATATTCTCAATTTTTTCGTGATCATTCTATTCTGCACCGTTCAGAATGATAACGTGGGGCACCGGAAAAGAGTACGAGTTTGCTTTGTTCAGAAATTTGATTTTTGGTTTTTTTGGGACCAGCTTTGTTCAGAAATTTGACAATCGAGAGAAAAGAATAATAATAATAATAATAAAGAACCACAGATTTATTCTTATAAGTATATACTATTTTAATTCCACGTGACGTTACGCCAAAATGATTCACTATGTTTTATAAGATAAGATTTGTAAGGATTCTTCAAACCAAATAGTAACCTGAAAATTCAAAAGCAAAACCAAATCTTGCTGTGGCAATCGATTGTTGTCACATCAGTTGCTTTATTCTGGCTCTTCACGCATGAACATATATATTTTGGTGAACAAAATGAGTATTAAATTGGGTTAGCATCGTACCATTAATTAATTAGGTGAATAAAGTGTTGGGGATAAATTTAACACATATAATAGAAAAAGAGTGAGAGATGATATGGGTAGAATGATTTTGTTGAATTCATTTAAAAAAAAATGTAATCAAAAGAATATGATAGTACTGAATGATAATAATAATAAAAGAAAAAACATCAAATATATTTTTTTTCCCAAAAGAAATTTCTTTGACGCAAAGCAAGATCAGTTCTCCCAAAGATGAGGAATAAAGCCTTTGGGTTTATCTCACGCAAAATGAGCCCATGACTTTGAAAGGATCAGCCCATTTAACTTCAGTGATGCAATCAGGGTAGGCGGAGGTTGTGGAATGTGAGCCTTTCAATTGAAAAGGACTGACTGGTCACCAAACGCAGAGTCACTTGTCCAAGAGCAATCCAAGTCCTCAAAGCCCATACTCGCAGTTTCAGTAGAAAAAAATTGCTCCCTCCAATATCTAATTTGTGAGAATTAATTAAAAAAATACTTAAATTAATTTACTTATATTTATTATTTATTACGTCAAATTCTTCGATTACATATGGCCATTTGTTCTATATTTTCTCATTAATGGGAGCAATTATGTTGGAGGTACTATCGGATAGTAAGCATAAACACCTCTTTCAACAAAGATTCGAACATTGGCTCATCATCCATATAGAATTATTATTAAATGATATTAAATGTTAATATTTTAAAAACTAAACACATGATAATGTGTAACTAGAGAACTTAATATGATGTATATAAACAACTTGACTTAAGTATTGTTTTAGATTAAATTATTTATTTCTAAAAAAATGTATGTTAATTTTCTTAAAATATTTCTTTAATAAAGGAAGAAAATTATTAATTTTTAAAAAATGTATTGAGTTGTTAAATCCCACGAAATAACGTTTTCGCAGGATTGGTCGGATTTTCGTTTTTCCTATTTTCAAAAAGGAACATTCGCATCCGCTGTTACTCAGTTAGAATACCGGCAGGTACCCAATCCAACTACAGTGCTAAATATCGTTGCGGAGGTGACGTCACAATTGGCGGCAAACCCCCATTGGCTTCAGTGCAAGAACAGGATCTAAGGCCCCTCCCTCCAATTGGCTTTTCTATGGCCGTCTCGATTCTCTGATCCCACCCCAAGTAACCCACCACCAGCACTTTGACCGTGATCTGAAATCCTCCCTAGCCCCACTCGATCTGAGGTGGTGGGGAAGATGATGACCATGATTTTGGGCATTCGTGAGAGATTTTTTTAACTTAGTCTTCTCTATCTACAAGTGATTAACTCCGCCGTCTCTAGCATCTGAATTTAAATATAGTATGAGAGGAAGGAAAACGTTAACTGCTCACTCTGTGTCTGATTATTCTAAATCCAGTGTTCTCCTAATCTCTGCTTGCGAGAGCCCTCCCTGCGTCAGCAACAGCTTGTAATTTTGGAAACCTCCGTCGTCGTTTCATGAATTCCAAGCTCGTTGTCAAGTCAGCCTCAAAGCCAGTGATCTTCAAGTGATGTAGTTGTCCAATACACTAACGTCGTTATTTTACTTTTATTACTTTCTTTGATATTTCTGCCATTATTTATTTTGTTTTCAGCTTTTCTTTTTCCGGTTCATATTAAGCCAGGGCGTTAACAGGTATTGTGATAGCTGGACTTGAGCTCAGACGCTGTTCATCACTGCCAGTTGTTATCTGATTGTTGGCCAAAAAAGGGAAGAAAAATCTGGCACTAAACCTCGTTCTCGAAAAAGCCCTTTTTTTTGGGGGCGGATATTTTTCAATTCAACTAACAACTACTGTTAAGAACTGTGAGAGATAAAATTTAAAGATTTTTCAAGCGTATTCAGAAACGCAGAGGTACTGTAGACCAGTCCATGAATGGTCCTCCATGACACGATGGAGATATCGTTTTTAATTCCTCTAGGAACCTATATATCTCATTGCCAGTTGAGAAACACACCACAACAGTATCAAACATGCGAGGTTTTTTTCACATCAGAACAGCGCCAAACAAACGCATATGGTTCTTGAAATAGTGAAATCACCAGAGGCGAAGAGATGCAGGTTTGTTTTGTATGAGAAAGGGAAGAGTAGGGGGTATAATTAGGTGGAGTAGGAGAGGGAGGGAGGGGGGTCTTAGGATTCCCCAGGAGACGATAAAGTATAACGGCCACAAGTGGGGTTGAGGAGGGAGTACTTGGGGGTGTGAAAATCATAATGGGGTGCTCCGTGTTTCGTTGAACAGTACTGTCAGATCCACTATGAGTCGCAGCAATGCCTCACAGATAAGTAGGCCTCCATTTATTAGTTGTGTTGCTTTCTTTGTACTGATTCATGTCTCTCACTCTCTCTCCATCGCAATGAATGCCCACCACCCTCTGCCCTCCATCCCCATTACCTCACTGCTCACTTTCTCTCAAGACTTTTCAGTTTCACACTTTTGAATTCAACCCACATTCCTTACCTCACACGCCCTGGAGACGCCTCTCTCCTTAACCCAAAACACAAAACAACTCCTGCCTCGGAATAATTCTTATCAAAGAAGCGGCGGACTCCGAAAATAAAATATAGAATGAACTGAAACAGACACTCAGACAAAGTAATTAATAATGAATTCTTAGGTTCAGAGTACTTTCATTCATTCATTGATTCCCAAGGAGTTTTTATTTATATCATCATGATCAGCACACACACATATATAACAGAGTCCCCTGTTCTTGATTTTCTCGAATCCGGCAATCCAGAACAAACCACAATCACAGGGGGGAATCACGGGGAACGAACATCAAAATTCAGAATATATATGGGGCTTGAAAAAAATCATCCACCATATCATGTCGGCTCGATAACTGAACCTGAGACGAGGAGAAGCCATCGTCGACGTCGCAGCAAGAGGAAGAAGAGTCGGGGAAGGGGGGCAAACCCACGTGAGCAGGGAAGGCATCGTCGATGGAAGAAGAGGGGAAGTTAATGAAGGCGTCGGAGGCGGCGGCGGAGGCGGAAGAATAACGAGCGAGACGAGCCCGAGCGATGGCGAGGTCATGCTGGAGCTCCACCATCTTGGTCTGCAACAGAGCGATAGCGCCAATGCATCCATAAACAGGGTCTTTCAGCCTGGCGTCGGCCTCATAGGCGAGCGAGTTGACGGTGTCCTCGCGCTGCTCCTCGGGGACCTCGAAGAGGATCTTGCTGACATTGCTGGCGCCGAAGACCTTGTGGACTTTGGCGAATTTCTTGCACTCGTCGGAGCGGAAGTAGGGGGCGAAGATGCAGGTGGGGGTGCAGCGTCGCTTGAGGAGCTTGCAGGCAGCGCAGGAAGAACTGGAACGGGGCTCATAGCCCTTCATGCTCTTCATGGTATCCGCTTCACTTCCCTATCTCTAAATGCTAAATGCTATGCCTATGAGAGCTATCTATCCTATCTTCAACTGCTCCTTCCATAAATATATGCTCCGCTCCTGTCTTTTCACTCCCACGATTATAATATTTTCCTTAAAATGTTACCCCAGGTTTATTTTCTTTTTCATAATAATAAATAAATACGAGTATATAATTTTTTTTTTCCTTTCTTTCTAATACTACTAATATAAAATGATATTGATTCATGTCTTAATTATAAGATTTTATTTATCATTTATAAATTAGATCTTATAATTAGAACAGGAGATAGTAAAATTTAACATGCTTAGATACAAATGCTCTTGTGTGTGGAAATATTATGAGAAAAAAAAATAATATGAGATGAGAATGAGGTCTTGTGCTTAAATTTTTTTTTTTTTATTCCATCAGTTTCAAGCATTGACCTTCTTATCCGCAAAATTCAAACTTATATGCATTGCTTAAGAAAAATCCAACCATTTTCACTTCACTTATCCACCATTATTTGTACTTTTCACTGTAAGTTTAGTTAGCACCTTCTATGCTTAATATAACAAAGAGACTAATAACTAATTTGAGAGTTTTAAAAAAATCGATTAAGTTAATTATTTTTTGATGATAGATATTGTTTTTTTTAACATATCCATATTAATCATATGTATTTAAATTATAATTTGATGGAAACCCCTTAACATGTAGTATAATTATTAGAAGAACTATTTTGAAAAAAAAATAATAGATAAAACGAGTCGTAGTCTTATGTTTAAAATTAAGTTGAATATCCAACTAACTGTGTGTGATCTCTTTTATGACTCCTTTGTCGCATGAGAGTTACTATTGTAAGCTTCTACCCCCAACTGGACCATATAGCACCTCCTCTGCAAAGGAGGTTGCAAGTTCAATAAAAGATCAAAATAGGTGTGAGTAGGCGTGTGATGACCGACTGAGTTTCCTCTCTTACGGGAGAGAGTCGGTGTTAAACTGTCTAGGTTAAAAAAAAGGGCTACTCATCTTCGTCATTTGATTTATAATATAAGTTCGATTTAACCGTCTCACATAAATAAAATAATGATAATTAAAAGGAAGTTATGCCATTAAATATGCAAAAAATTGGATACCTCGTTAACTTTCAGGATACACCGTTATCAAAAATCATATATTACATGTGACCAAAAAAAGGCATACATTACATTAACCTTAGTGGGTTAATTATTTATAAAGCTTAATGACACGAAAGAACAAACTAAGATAAAACATTAAATACTTTAAATATTATTGAATTAAACAAAATGATTCATATTGTGAAGCGGAAAAAAATATGGATAATTAAGAATTCTTTCAAAAAATTCAAATCAAGGCAGGCTTATTTAATTTTACAAACAAAAAATACAATTCATTATTGTGTGGGTGGTATGAACGGGAAGGGATGGGGTAGCTAGTAGCTGCAACTTCATCAATTTATATTTCAGTGTTCAGATGATTCAGTGAGTCATCCAATCTCGGAGTGCAGAGGGGCCCCTCTAAAATTGACACATCGCAACTTGGGGCTTCTTGTGTTGGTAGTTTTCAAGTCAGACATGATAGTTCGTGACTAAAAGATATCCCCTTTTCTTATATTCATTCTGCCAAAAAATAAAAAAATAAAAATTTTATTTCTATGTTGGTCCCGAGAGAAGAAAACGATGCACCTACTTTATTTTTATTTTATTTTATTTTCTGAATCAATGCAAGTACTACTTTACTTGTAGACTTGTAGTTCGGAATCTCCAGTACAGTGTTGTGGAGCCGAGCACAAAGTAGCCAGTGAGATTATTGTTTCATATTTTTTTAATTTTATATTAATTATTATGGATTTTCCTTAAAGACTGAAATTGGAAATTTAAGGTCAGGGATGGGGAAACATGACCTGGGCATGCCCAAAATAAACCACATCAAAACATCAACCAGACATGAATAGTATCATAAAATCAGCTTCTGTTTTATTACCTAAATTATGAAAATAAGTTTTTCTTTTGCTCCTCATATTAATTATTGGTACGATGTTTTGCTTAAGTTAATTAACGTGGGCGTGTCCATTATGAATCCTACAAGAGTAAGTAAAATAAATAAAGCTATTGAGACATATAAACTTTAACGCCTAACAATAATTATTCTAATGCCTCACTTTTATTATGTTAAAAGATAAAAAAAAAAGCGATTTCTGATCAAACCTTACCTTTTAAAAAAAAAAAAAAATCAAACTTCACTTTGCCCTTTTAACAATTATGTCGGCTGATTATTTGTGAAAATGGCATGTAAGCACGGGACTTCAGAGATTAATTAATCAGTTATTGTTCTTTGTCAATTAAACCACACGTACAATTTGCACCTTGTATTTTGTGATCAAGTGCAAAATTTATACTTATTCATTCCGCAGGAAAAGTTATATACACTACTCAACTTGGGACCATCGGTTTGGAATTTTGGGCTTGTTTGATTATTATTATTATTTTGTTTTTACCGGGGTTAAAAGTATGAGAGGTAATTAAAAAATATAATTATTTCAATGTCTTGTATAATGTGCAATTGATATATCCGGATGTCGTAATTGGGTGTTTAACCACAATATTTGAGTTTTTGACTATCCATATATTTTTGCCGCTCGACAAATTAAATATTTGCGGCTCAGGTTTAGGTCTAATATGCTCCCTTTCATTTTATATATAAACTTCAGATAACTGAATCATTAATGAACTAGTAATTAAAATTAGTTAAAATAATAAATAGACTAGAAATAATTTCCCCCCTAAATGTACCCTTATTTATTAAAAGAATAAATAAGAGAGACAATAAATAAAAAATGATAAAAAAGAATACACGAAGTGATAATAACAAGAGAGAGTTAGGCAAAATAAGCAAAATAATAATAATAATAAATGCTGAGACAAACCAAAACTTAAACTTATATTTTGAGCCAAACTACTCTTCAAAAGTGAAACTTATAGAGGATCGGAGGGAGTAATTGATAGATGTAAGCCATCCTACTATATATTCATATAAATTCATAAGTTTAATGGCTCAATCTAATTAGGAAAGGCTGAATAAATAACTCAGTAATAATCCGGGACAGTATCAAATAATACTAGAGAGTTTCACCGGGTCTTATTCTGTCTTCGTACCCTTGAAAAACTATATATGAGAAATTAGCTTTATATGCTCATTTGCTTTTATTTATAATATAGAGAGAAAATAAATTTTTAAGTTATATTTAGAAGTAGAGAAAAATTATTTCATATAAATATAATTTTATTTTTTATTATTGTATTGACTTTGTTCTCATAAAATATAATGTATATTACATTGGAATAAATTTGAAAAGTTGTTAAATTTTGAACTAAAATCAATAAGTTTAACATTCTTTTTTTTTATCTGTATAAAATATATTGAAAGTAATTCATAAATAGTATCAAATTAGCATGTGATTCAAAAAACCTTCTTATTTTATTCAAGAGTTATCTCAATCACCAAATTCATTGAAGGATATCTTCTTTTTTTTTTGCTTAAACTTAACCCCCGATTGTAATAATTATAGGAAAAAAATCAGCAAAGTAATTAATATATGAATGTTTTTGTAAGCATTCTCTGAATTGGGAGGCCTGTATTAATTTTTACAAGCCAGCAAGAAACTTGTCATAGATGCTATAAAGGAAAAAGTGTGAATAAAATGATGTGAGGAAGAGAAGAAAAGTGCGAATTGTGCGATGATAAAAATTGAAAAGACAGGGAACATGGCTGTGGGAGGAAGGGAAAAAAATAAAAGGGGGTAACTTTAATAAGAAAAAGAAAGAAAAAAACTTTGATTGGAATGTAAATGGGGAGAGGGGCAATGATAAAAGAGGGGAAGATATGTGTCATCGTCACACAATTGATTGGAAAAAGATGGAACCTCATAATGCATTGTTCCCACCTCTCTCTCTCTCCCCATTTCATCTTCCAACTCCTTCGGCCCCACTTACTTTAATGCGCGTCCTTTTCTCCCTCCCACTCCTTCCCCCACGCGCCTTCGCCCTTCCACTCCGACACCCCTTTCCCGCCGAATTTCAACGGCCACTCGTGCACACGCGCCACTCGAGGGAATGGTCATCCCGAATCCTCGCTTCAGCAAAATGGGCCGACCCAGGAATGATTGGAGATGATGAGTCCCACTCTGCTGGGCTCTATTTATTCTGTCCCTTGTTTTTTTCCATTACTTACTCCATATATTGACAACACATTTTATTGAGAATAAATTTTTTTTAAAATTTCTTAATTTTGTGTTAAAGTTTGATAACTCTCCAAGTTAATCCTATGAAGGAATTAGTGAGAATTAAGAAATCTAAAAACAATAAATTTGAAGTGAAATTATATATTTATTTAATAAATTTTTTGTGATCATTTATAGTATTAAGGAAAAAAAATATACCCCGCATCGGACTGTAGTTGGAAAGAAAGCAGTGGGCATCTGGATTGTGGCATTCCCATTTCCAATTATGAATTGTGCTATTGCCTGCCAATTACCGGGTTATAATTGCAGTCTCCAAAAGAAATTTTAATTCTGTACCTACCTTGTTATTTAATAGTAGTATAAGACATACTTAACTAATTTGATTAGATTAGAAAAATTGGGTAAGTTAGTTAATTATAAGAAATATGATATATTTTTTTAAAACACTATAATCATCTTTCTTAATATCTTACCTTCTTCTCTGATGAAACTATAGTTGAAGGGTATTAATGGGGTAATTTAAAAAAATTAATAAATATAAAAACTAGGTCTTACATTTAGGATCAAAATTAACTTAACAGTTAGATTTTATGTTAAGGACAAAAAGAGTATTTTATTTGAATTGCTAAGAATGCGGACCATTTTTCAATTTTCAAAGTTCAAGAAGAATATCAAGAGTTACAACAGGAGCTGGAGTTTAGATTTATGTGAATGTAAAATACTACATCCGATCCTTAATATAAGATCTTGTTTGAATTTTATTTTGGTTCTAAATATAAGATCTCAATCTACTTTGTCTCTTATATTTATACATTTTTTTTCAAAGTAGTCCTTCTAACAATGGTAGTTTTAGCCAATATATTTGATTAATAAGGATATCTTAAGAAAGATAACATCCATTTAGGACAAATAACTAACTCAACCTATTTTTTTAATTTCCTTAAATTAGTCAACTAGTTCTTATAATTAGGACAGAGGTAATATAACCTTAAAAGATCTATTCCTATTTGGATTGGACAATAATCTAACATGCCGTATCAAAAGCGTTGCACAAAGAAAAATGCAATAAACATCAAGATTTTGGTATAATGTTGAGTTTCTGATGGCATCAAAGATTATGCTGGTATTTTTTATTGTTTTTGGTGATCATTGACCCCACAGAAAGAGCTTACACGCCTATTGTAATTTCGGAGGATCAAACTTAACCTTTTGCTTAAGCAATCACTCAAAAAAGGTTCTTGGTGCCACAATTGAGCCAGATGGCTATGTCTGTACGATTATAAAGTTTTAAGAGATTTGGTGAGATTTAACAAACTTCAATTATAAATATGCTTTTTTTTTTGAAAATTTCCATAGTTAACGTGGCTAAAATTAAGTTATTAAGATTTTAAGTTTTTATTACATCTCTTGAAGGAGTTAATTACTTTAAGAGATGAATGACTTTACAAATTTCACACAAAGTTGTATTTGTTCACCTTAGTTTTTGGTTCTAATAATGATCCTCCTCTATTTTTTTATTGTAAAAAAAATTCAAAAGGGTTAAAATCATTTCGTCCTTGTCTATTTTCTTCTCCAATTAAACTAGTGGGACATGGGTCGCAGAGCATGGTTGGCTAGTGAGAAGGGACTTTATCATGTTATCTTCAAAACTACTTTGGCATTTATTGTGTTATTTTGTATAGAAAATTGACTCCCATAATATACATACATATACGTTGGTGTGTGCAGCGCATGTGTGTGTATCCATAAGAAAGATAAGTACTTTTTCTGATATTTAATATAAGAACTCGTTTGATTTTTATTTTGGTCCTAAATATAAAATCACAATCCATTTTATCTTTTATATTTATCTTTTTTTTTCTTAAGGTAGTCTTTGTAATGATAATAGGTATAGCTAATATATTTAATTAGTAAGGATATTTTAGAAAAAACATCTATTTATTAAAAATAACTAACATAACTAATTTTTTTAATCTACTCAAATCAGTCAATTAGTTCTTATATTAAATATCAAAGATATTTTTTTTTGGATAATTGTAAACGGTAAAAATCATCTATTGAGTTCAAAGTAATAAAGGATTTGATTATCTCCTGAAGTGGGAATTGGAGGTGAAGGGATTTTTTTTAAAAAAATTTAAAACTCAGTACATCAAAACAGATCGAACAATGAAAGAAAACTGCCCTTTCCTAAAGGCCCTCTTGTGATCTTCCTTCTAATTCTCCATAATCTTGCTTATGTGATACTTTGGCAGCAAAAGTCCAATATTTGGATTGTCATGTTAAATTAAAACATAACAAAAGCTAAGGTCTTGTTTAATTATGTTTTAAGAATAATTTTGTAAGTAAGTTTACAACAATTCTGTTTGATGATTGTTCCAAGGAACGACATTTAAAAAAAATTATAAAACTTATTTGGAACAAGCGCTTTTAAAATTAACTTGGAGAATAAAGAGAGGGGAAGGGACAAAGTGAAGAGTGCAATGATGGACGGTGTGTTATAAGATTATTGAAAGATGACACAGATAAATATGAGCAATTGAGAAGGTGATCACGAGATATAGAGTGAAAATTACAACTGCAAGTAAAAGGAAAAGTTGGGGAAAATAGCAACAAAAAAAAACATATAAGAAATATTTAAGTTTTTTAGAAAAACATCTTTCTATTCTTTTTATACAAAACACTTAATTGAAAATTAATCATCAAATAAGTTTTTTTTTTGGTTTTTGGGAACAGAAATTTGTTTCCAAAACATGAAATCAGATGAAGTTAGACTTGAATTATTAAAAAATTGAATGGAGAAGGGGGGAAAAAAAAGGACAAATCCAGAAAATATGCTATATATATCGTTGTGGACGTCATCACAGTTGTGATTGAAGGACTCTAAAAATTAAACATTAACATTTAACTGCTTTGTAGGGCCTTGCTATCTAGTTCTTTAAGGATGATTATATCATTAAAGGGAGGCAGGTTACTCAAATATTGTTTGGGTTTGAGATTAATGTGGTATTATAACTTAGTATTTGGATAACATATTTACAAACCACAAAACATGGTTTTTCTTGGAATTTTCAAACACATCTTTAAACATGGTTGCTTTTACGTACTGAGAATGAAACACATGGAGAAGATATGAAATTTGACCAGAAGCCAATAAAGCATGATACATGTTTTTTTTTGTTTTTTTTATGAACAGTATAGATCAGGCAAAGTTTTCCCACGTTTAAATCAACCAAAAGGGTTTAAAAAAAAGTTGTTAAGTTTCTTTTTCCTGGACTAATATATTTTCTATATACAACAACAACCTAATCTTATTTTATTAGGTGGGATTGACTATATAGATTGCACAGTGATCTTAAGCTGCAATAAACATATTGAATAATTATAAAAAATATGTTGTCATTTGCCTTTTAAATGTTGTTATTAAAGTGTAGTAAACAAGAATGATTTAGAATTTTAAAATTCAAAAGTATTTTTTTGGGATTCTTCCCAAAATCTTCTCCCTACTATATTAATAATTCCTTGTCTAATTATATCATATCATTTTCCTACGCATATATACACCAAAAGAGAGCTAACCATATCCTGCGAAAGTCTAAAATGTCATATCCGCACCCACACACAAATGTCCCAAATATGAACTAGATAATTAATCTAAGAATATTAAATAAATTAGTTAAGTTAGTTATTTATAATAAATATGTGTTGTTTTTTCTTGAATTATCCTTGCTAGAAACTTTTTAATATGGACAATCAACAAAGAAATAATTTTAGGAAAAAAATAGATATATATGGAAGATAAAATGAACTAAGACCTTCTATTTAGAGCTAAATTAAATCTCTTACTTAGCTATTAAGTACCGAAGATAAGGTAGTATATATAAAGTAATAAACCCTTAGCCTCAGCTTCGCTCACAACAGTAATGGTTTCCACAGCGACCACTTCTTCCTCTTCCCTCTCCCTTCTCATAGTGTCTTTGGCTTTCTCTTTAGTTTCTCTTCTGTACTCCACCATTGACTCAGGCAACGACCACTTGTTGGTTTTGGGTCTGAGCGTGATTTGTACACTGGGATTAGTTTTGGGTCTGCGGGTTTGAGCAGAGTTAATGGGATGTCGAGGCAGTTTAAGTTATTTGAGGAAGCTGTGAGTCGTACTATGGTTAGTTTGTGATCAGTATTGGGACCAATGACGTGATGTATGATGAATATTTGTTACCCGTGAGTGAAATTCAGTATAGTGACATTTCGAGTTGCCACCGCTTTCTTATCCAAAATCTCGAGTCCTTCCTTCAGGTATTATTTAATTGTTCTGCATATATGTCCATGAAGATATCTCTGTGTGTTTTTATTCTTAAGTTTTAGTGGTCGAGTCGTATTTTTCGTCGCTCTAAATCACACTGTTTGATCGGGAAAATTAAACAACTTCGCTGCAAGTAGGAAAATCAAAAGAAAGAATTTCGAATAGGTTAATTAACTTTCAAGTTTCGACACAGATCAACAGCCATATAGCAAATTAAATTAAGCTTCTAACCAATAAAACAAATTAGCTTTGATTTTGTATCGCTGCTTGAAAGGAAGGTCTCATTTGTAAGTTTGAGAGCTGCATGTAAATTATGTATATATGGAGGTCGAAGGATGCCTCCCTCTGGTTGTAAGGGTACGAATTACTACCTCTAGTCTCGCCCTAATTTGTAATAAAATTTGTACTACAAGCTAGTTTTTATATTTAGAATCAGAAAAAAAATATTAGTTTGAATACATAATTTCGTTCACTAATTTGGACAAGCCATTCAGTTATTTTTGGAAGTATATAATTGACATGACAGAAACATCTTGTTCAGTTGAAAATCTGTCTTAACGATGCTGTGCTTGTGCATGCATGTGCTGGTGATTTTGGATGGTGAAGGTTTCAGCAAAACACTCCAAAGGATGCTCAATGCTGTGGGACAGGGCTGGTGAAGATGGGTCCCGCCTGCCATTTACTTCACCGACTTGCTCGGATCCCTCCAAGTATATGTTTTGGCATTCTCTAAATCTCTGCATATATACTTGCTCCTCAAACATCTTATAACCCACAAACACTGCTCCCACACGTTACGCATTAAAATAATGTTGCATATTGTCATGGTTGCTTGTGTAAGATGATTATTGAGTTAGGTGAATATTAAGCTTATTTCTGATCATTGTTATGTTTTCTGGTCATTTAATTTCTTGTTCCTTGACTTTGATCTGACTAATTCCCATGACAAGGGTAAAAATCATATGAACTGGAATTAGGACTTTCGACCAGAGAATCCTATCAAAGTTGAATGGGATTCAGGTTCCTAATACTTAAGCCGGAATCAAAATCAACGGATTACAACAGATCCTTGTATCATTGCGCTTAGTCAAGGTGAATGTCATTGCTAGAATTGTCACATAAGATTACCTTGGCTCCGGTTCGAGGACTAACATGGATATTTTCAAAGCTGTCCTCCAAACCGTTACCCTTTAAAAACCACCTATCCATTGACCATTCGTCATTCATTTGATAATTGTACGTATCCTAACAGTGCCAAACTGGGTCCTCAAGTTTTGGTTTTACAATGAAACCGCCATTACAAAATTTTTCCGGCTTCTATTTTGACATAGTGATCTGAACCAATTCAAAGGGAATGGGGGTCACTTGAAATTTAAGCTCACGAATCAGAGTTCGCGAATTCTCTGTACTAATCAAGGCCTTATTTTGCAGCGGTACAAGGGTGTGTGAGATATGACTCCCATAGAATTCTGATACGCCATAAGCATATCACCTATTGATAAAAGGACTTGAAGGGCGATGAATCACGAAACAATGCTCCTTCTAAAATTTCAATCTGAAAAGAAAGATAATCCGGGGACAGAGCCCAAAAAAGCTCCAAAGCAAACCCCAAAAATGTAAGTCCAATTGCCTTATTGTGCTGTGTGTGATACCCAGATTGCCGAATCAGTACCAACTGAACTGTAAGCCTCTATGAAGGAACCGAGAAGCTAAACCTAAAACCAGTCTTTCCAAGATCATGCTCATGCTGCCTGAGTATGTAGTAGAAATTACCCTGAAAAAGTGTGAAGCACGTCAGAGGAGAAACAGTGCCAGTCTTGCCATTACAATAATATTGTTTACCTAGGACATCACTACTTAATTCAGACAATGCGGTAACACGATAACATCTTCAGTCATATTTTCATGCCAATAATATTATAATTTTATAACCAAATATTAAGTCACTCTCAGAACGTTAAATTCTCACTTGGAAATGCATGAAAATAAAGAAAGCGGTTTTTACTTCTTTCCGTAAGTTATATACTCCAAACAAAATATATCAGGTCAGGTATTTTTTTGGGGGGGGGGGGGGAGGAACATATCAGGTTACCCCAAAGTCCCCACTTGCTTTTGTACATCATTAACACCCAATCTCCGCCGACTTTTGGTTAGTCTCACGCTGACCAGTGCTTGATTCAATATAAGCATATAAATAAAATAAGAGAAACTAACCTCTAGGCGAAAAACTTTAGTTGGAATAACAATTCCGCATCCCACGGACGTTCGAAATGAATCCAAAAATTTTTTAGGAGAGAACTTCCTGTACTCATACTCAGCTAACTTGGCAATATTCCCAGCACCAGCAAAAACATGTCCATGGATCCCACGTTCTCTTAACCAGCCGACAGGAAGATCAAAAGAGAGATCTGCAAAAGCAGTAACAGCAAGATCTCCTCCAACGAAGTCCCTTCTAGAGGAATCGACATTGTCATCATTTTTTCCATCTTTACTTTGTCTTCGTGGTTCAGTAGGACCTAATGCCCTTGTCCTGAATCCCCATAATGTTGTTGGCCCTCCTAGGGTACAAACTGGAGAGAAATCACCACCCAAGTAAAACCTCTCTGGCAGGGGAGAAGGCTTGTTCAAGAACCCATGGCCCCATGGAAAAATGACACCAGCAGAAATCCCAAGGTTGAGCGCAGTATGGAAAAACCCAAAAGGAATGGCATATCGAACATCAAGCTCCTGCATTGGATGAGGGAGGGTTAGTCGGCAAAAGAAAGGAAGGAAAAAAAGAGAGAAAATTAATATGCACATGAGGGGCATTACAGCAGCAGTTTGTTGTGAATATATTTTACCAAGCTAGTAGTAATATCAACATATTTCCATAGCAGGCTGTGATTAACTAACAATTTAATCATATTGATTAAATATGATATACCCATGCAACCGCAAAACACTGTCCAACATATGAAACAGAAAGCAATAACAGCAAAAGGGACCAGGGGATAATTTACAATTAGTTTGAACTCTTCAAACTACCATGTAGATAAAATAGAATAACAGCACTAACCATGGTCCCTTTTCTTCTGGGTGAAACTAACCATGACTTATTTTATCACTAAAGTACAGAGGAAGAGCAATGACCAAAATGATGAATGATTCCACAGCCACAAAAAAATTAAGTCAAGCAACCATAGGCTCACAGGTGCTTATCATAGAAGTACCTCCCAATAATCATTCACCCCTTTTTTTGGATTGACCTTGATCAGTAACTTCCTTTTAACATTGTCCAGTGAGTTTTCTCAGGCCTACATCTACACTCTACTGCTCCAGACAATGGCTTGATTGTCCCAAGAAGAAAGCTATATAATGATTTTTTTTTTAAAAAAAAAAGAAGCTAACACCACAGGATTTTTCTTCCTTCCAATTTTTTGGGAGTGGTTGGGGGGTAAAATCCTAGATGATTATAGGAAAATAAAAACAATCAAGAAAGAAAAACAAGTACTTGATAAACCATAACAATACTGGAAGAAAACACAGGTCCTTTAAAGTAGGAGAGAAACAAGTACTTTGTACTGGTTACATGGATGACCATTGACAAGCATGACATGATATATAATCATTTGCCAGCAATGGAAGAACTTGACTTCAATCCTCAGTGAAGGGTTCTGCATTTTTTAATTTCCTCTCATTTCACCCTAGGTCCAAACTTGTCATGGTAACAGCAAATACAGCTGATTAGATTAATTCAAGACATGCGTAGAATGGAGACATATTTATATCACATGAGATGCTCCAAGGAAAAAATTTACTCTCTCAAGAAGTAATTATATCAAATTCTCTGGGACCAAATTTCTGAATTAATTATATTACTCCTCCCATGCTGAAAATCATTTTAGTCTTAACCTTATACTCATTAATTTCATCATTTCAGTTCAGAATGTCTGATCTGCATCAGTATGGACATTCTAGCAATAATTATGAGAGGTTATCATGTTTTATTCACGACATATTAAATTGTAAATCACTGACGAATGGAGGTAAAAGTAAGGAATCCATCATACCTGACGCAGAAACCGCAAGCTCCTGTGATCTGGTGCAAGGCCACCTAATTGAGTTGTAGAAAGAAAAGCATATCCTTTTGTAGGCCTAACTGGTGAGTTCCTCTGGTCAATCTTAAATGTATACTTCAAAGATGACAATAAACCGTGTCCAATCTGCCTCCTAATAGATCTGGACGACATTTGTGATGGATCTGTTATGGTACGCCATCCAAGATTGTACACCAAATCATGGTGCTTTGTTGATAATAAGCCAAGAGACATGCCAGATGACCGCTCCTTGTACGAAGAATACTGTTGCCAATCTTGGGAATGCATGAATGCTCGTGCCACAACAGGGGTTAATAATCCTTTCAATCGAGGCACAAACACCCCAACACTCACCTCTGAAGTTTGATTGGGACCATATGCTACAGAACCATCCCATAGATCACCATAGCCTAACAAGTTTTTGAACTTTAGAGCACCTTCAAGAGACCAAGAACTAGACTGCAATTCATCAGAGAATTTATTCAAGAGAAAGAGAGAAAGAGAGAAAGAACACTAGATTCACTTGTCAAGTATAGACACTCAGTAAGAATAGGCAATCCAAAGTCATGCAAACACTGTCAGGTCTATGCACGATGAATACACTATAGGCAACAAAAATATCTGTGTCCTAACTTGGCAAGGTCACCAAAATCCTAGCAAGCCACATAAATAAACATGGCACATATACCATCTTTCATCATGCTTTCTTTCCTAGATGTAAATTTTAAAAATATTAAAAGGACTCAACAAGGGCATTTCAATAACCAAAAAAAACCCAGCTGCAAGAAGAAGAAGAAGAAGAATCATAATCATAATCATAAGGCTCAGAGGATCTATGGACATGATGCCAATGAAACATGAACTTATGGGAATCAAAATCAAAGCGCAGTTACAACTTACAATTAGATAAGGTATTCGGAATTTCATCCAATATCCATTGTAAAGTATATTCCAAAAATCCACTATAAAGTATGTTCCTTGAAATACTTCTTTCCAACCAAATAGTCTGCATCAGGTAAAATATAAATAACACTGCAATATATTATTCCTGCTCATCTATAACCATACTGCTAACAGCTAAGAATATACAGGTACAATTGTTTTTCTGCATCGTAATGCATTAATTGGCTGTATCACGGCTGCCACTTAATATTAAAAGGTCATCACGTAGAAAAATCGACCTACACCTTTAACACCCTTATTCCTCAAAAATCTGGGAGAAGTCAAGGTGGTGTATGCATCCAAAGAGAATAATCGAAGGTCGTACTAAAAGATGACAAGGACTGCACAGGGGCAAGAGTAGCTGCTTTCTCAAAACTTAACTGGAGCCTCTCAGAAGCCTAACGAATAGCCAATTAAACAAATAAGTAAAGATAAGTGGGCATCAATGGTGCTACAAGCCATCATTTTGCCATTCAAAACATGACTTCTAATCCACCAAATGATTACAAAGTATAAAAAGCTACTACCATCAAAGATAGAAGAAGCTTCTTAATCCTAGAATGGTCATATTGGACAAATCCGGAGCACCAAAAACCTTCTACCCAGTTCAAATCCCAACTTTTCATAACTCCTTAGTTTATGATGCTTGCCGTTGTAGTTATCTCAATATATATATATATATATAAAAGGTAAGAGATTTTGCGGTACTTCAAGTGTAGAAAAAGCATCCTGAATGAAAAGGTACGACTCCAAACCTAAGAGGAAATATATGGGCTTGCTGGAACTCACACAACAGAACCAAAATTTCCGGTTTCATCAGCAATAATTTTTGTTGTCTAGAATCTAAGCGGGCTTAAGATAACCAACACCAAATAGGTTATGCTTTTACTGGCATAGATCTGCAACGTGTAATGACATCTGATAAACCAACTAAAACGAATTGCTATTTTAGATATGTCATTTTATTTGTGCCTGCGAAGTCCACATACTGTAAATTTCTTTATAATGCTTCAGATCAGACTACTATCTTGCATGCCAACCGTAAATTATTAAATCATTTTAAATCTTCAATTCATTTACTTGTGACACCTCAGCAGCCAAACGCCACAGTTAACTCTCCAGTAATCCATGAACTGCAAATTGAACCACACAAAAACGATTCAATCTCGAAATAGTATCTAAGAAGGAGAGAAAATGACTGTACCGAGGGTTTTGAATAAACGCCAACTTCCCCAGAAGGTTTGCTATCGCTCTCTGAGACCTCAATGATGACATTGGCAGTACCAGCCAACTCTGGCGGTCCTGGTTCAAGCTTAATATTGACCGCATCAAAAATCTGGAGGCCATGAAGTTTCACATTGGCAATTTTTGCCGCTTCCACCAGCTCTCGCATAGTTGTGGCGTTCTTTATCCCCTCCACCTCGACCTCGATCACCCAATCCTTGGTTTTCGTATTCCCCCTTATTAGAACATCATGGACTCGAGCAGGAAGATCCTGTTCTTCGTTTTCTTCATCATCCTCGACTTCCTCAGAGTCATCTTCTTCATCGTCTTCATTGGAAAAATTCTGTGTATCGTAGCCATTTTTAGGGATTGGGGGAAATGGAAGTGGATTGTCTTCTTCTGAGTTTGCCATGAGAGGTCACCAGAGTAAAGAGAGAATCGGCGAAGCGGAGGAAGCTCCGCAAACAGAAGGAAGACGGCGACGCAGGAGCAGATGGTGATTACTGGGATTATTGAATACTCACTAACCGTTCCAGATGTTTTTTTTTGGATTAAAAAAACAGAATTCTGTGACATTTTTAACTTTTCAATATACGTCCATAGTTAATACTCCTCCGATTTTTAATATAGGACCCAATTTTTGAGTTAATTTTGGTCCTAAATATAAAACTCATTTATCATATTTATCAATTTTCTCTAAATTACCTCTATAGATACTCCCTCAACCATAATCAAATAGAAGATGGAGATGGGGTATTAAAAAAGACGATTATAGTGTTTTAGGAAAAATGTGTCATTTTTCTTATAATTAACTAACTTACCTAACTTCTTTAATCTAATCAAATTAGTTAAATGGGTCTTATATTAAAGACCGGAAGAGTACTAATTTCAGTTTTTAATACAAGAACTTATTTAATTTTTATTTTGGTTCTAAATATAAAATTTTAATCTATTTTATCTGTTATATTTATCTATTTTTTAAGATAATTATTCTAATAATGATAGTTCTAACAAATAAATTTGATTAGTAAAAATATTTTGATAAAGACAACACTTCTTTACTACATATAACTAACTTAACTTGTATTCTTAACCTATTCAAATTAATCAACTAGATTTTATATTTAAAATTGGAGGGAGTATAAAATTTGTAGAAAAGTCATATGTCACGAAGGGTGTGCAACAATAGGATCCACATTTTAGATTAGAAATGGAAATGCTAACTGAAAATTTTGAGCTGCAATTTTGTTATAAAGTTTTCAATTTTTTAATTTGTGATTCTAATTATAATTGATTTTGTAATTATATTCATAAAGTACTTTTTATTCATTTTTCATAGAATGTAAATTGTCAGAAGTCAGAACACTCCCAAATGAGGAAAAACACAATTGCACACCTCAGTTATAAAACCTTTTTATTTATTCATCTAATTTTGCCAACAACCATTTTATTATTTTTTTTGCCGACCAACAATCATTTTATTATTGATGTCAAAAGAAAATATCATCCAAATATTACAAAGATAAATTAAAATATAAACTATGAACAATATGCGAGTTGGAATTTATTCAGATGATCTGTGTTAACAAAATTACAAAAATAGAATCACCTTTTTCTTTTTTAACATCAAAATCACTCGCGCACTAACGTAGTTTGGTATGGAATATTGAAGGAAGGATCCAAATATATCTCTAGATAAATATTATGACAAAACACACCCCAGAACTAACGCACAAAAAAAAAAAGCATGTGTAATTGAATTGTAAAGGATAGTACTCCTCCAGTCCTTAATATAAGACTCATTTAACTAATTTGATTAGATTAAAGAAGTTAGGTAAGTTAGTTAATTATAAGAAATATGACATGTTTTTCCTAAAATACCATAATCATCTTTCTTAATACCCCTCTTTTTTTTACTTGATTATAGTTGAGGGAGTATCCATAGGGGTAATTTAGAGAAAATTGATAAATATAATAAATGAGTCTTATATTTAGGACCAAAACCAACTCAATAATTGGGTCTTATATTAATGACCGGAAGAGTATAATGTTATTAATATGTCGATTAATAGTATAACATTATTCAGGTAAAAAAAATAGTATAACATTATTAACAATTAACAATATAATACACTTTCCGTATTCTATATAATATAAATAAATATAAGCTATTTTAAATCTTAAATTTATAGCAAAAAGCGAAGATGTGGGAGGTCCCTTAACCTAACCAAATGATATTTGATATATTCTTACATTTGAATATTAATAAACTGTAGGCTTTGTTTATAATAATTTATAAGCAATTTTTTAATCATATTTTATGAAAAGAATACGTGATAAATATGTAAAAAAATTATTTCTTATCTAAAATACTTTTTAAGTTCTTATGAATTGCTATCCAAACAAGCACTTAGCTTGAAAATCCTAAAATTGAAAAAGAAAAAACAAAATACGAAGAACTTGATCAGCTGAACTTAATCACCATTAGTTTTCAGGTGAAAAAGTTTAATTTGCAGAGCTTACAGCATGATACATAATCATGGGGATTTTTATTGGTGTTTTCACATTGTAAATACAAAGGTCACTCTAGTTAAAATTAAGAGCAAAGCAATAACAAATTATTATGTGTTAAAATGATATTGTCTTCTCTTTATTATGGAAAGGGGAAAATAATCGCGACCTCGCCGCTCAGCGCGCTCATGCTCAAATTCAAATCGGGCGAAGTGTAATCGGCAGCATCACAACCAATAACGTCCACCGCCGCCGATCGTGCTCCGAAATGGCCAGCCAAGACCTCTTCACTTCCTTAATCTCCGACATCGAGACCTACTCTGGCAAAGACCCTCTTCTTCCTTGGCTCCGGTATGCCTTTTCTCTCCCACTCCCCCTCTCTTCACTCCTCTAACATTCAAGGCCACTTACAGTGTGAGTTGGTGCAGAGGGATTCGAAAGATGAAGGACACTCTGTCTCCCGCGGCCCTCCATGAGAAGCTGCCGGATTTCTTACAGAAATGTGCACAGACTTTCGAGTCGGATCGACGCTACCGGAATGACATGCGGTATCTTCGGGTTTGGCTGCACTTGGTAACTGAAGCATCGTTTTCCTTTTTCAATTGTTATTTGCAGCTAATTGATAGATTTTTTCAGCGTATGCTTAGTTGCTGAGAAATGGGGTTGAAAAGAGTGATGAAAAAGCTATGATTTTTTTATAAAAGATAGCTATTATTTGAGTTATTGTGTTGATTTTAGGAAGTTCATCATCCGCTTCCGGATTAAATAAAGGGAAGATCAAATGGTTTATTGTCTTTTTCCTTGATTTTCAGATGGATTTTGTAGATGACCCATTGTCGCTTTTGAAAACGATGGAGGTGAATCATATTGGGACAAAACGCTGCCAGTTCTACCAAGCATATGCTCTTTACTATGAAAAGAACAGGAGATATGATGAGGCTGAGAAAATGTACCATTTGGGAGTGAAGAAGTAAGTTTTTATGCAGCAATCAGCAATCACCATTTTTGTTTGAATTAACATTATGCTAACAACACACTAACATTCAACTCCCGCACATGTTTTACAGTAAACTGCACATTATTCCGAAAGACAAAAACCTTATGAATAAGAAAAATATTACCTTCGGTCCTAAATATAAATCTTTGTAGTGTGATTTGAGTAAATCTTAGGACCGGAGGTAGTATTATTATGGCCCGTCGAAATGTGTCTAATGCCATGACAATCCTCCAGTGATCTTAAATTTGCTATCTTTTGCCCCCAAATAATTGATGTTCCGCACACCTCCAGTGAAATGGGAATCAATCATCAATACTCATCAAACCGCCATTTCATTATGTCACAGAGTTCAATCTCGGTGCATATATTTTTCTAAATGAATTTTATCTTCTGTTATCTGAAAACACATTAATGCCTGTAATAAGTATTTTGTTTTGTTTTTTTTTTTTTTAATTCTCAATGATCTGTACAGAGGAAAGATATATAATTTGAACGTGAGAGTGATTTACCTTTTAGCTTATTGGCATAGTAGATGTAGAATATTATACTGTTTAGCTGGTAGTAGACGCCTATGAGCCTATCCTACCCAAATCTTTCAACTATCATCTTCTTTTTCCTTTTGTGTCGAGCAGCCTTGCAGAACCCATGGATGACTTGCAAAAATCATATGAACAATTTCTTGGTCGCATGGAAAGAAAGAAAAACAGAAAAATCCAGGTAGTGCCCGTGGATGTGTTCTTTTTGGCCTGAATTTCTTTGTTGTTTGTGACATTCAGTGACATAATTTTAGAAAGATTTCCATCAGCAGCAGGAAGGGAGAGCTTCCCGGAGGCCTCTGTCTACGAAGAATATTCCAGCTCATATCAACAAGACCGAGGGGAAAGGTGAAGCATGTGGTATTGAGAGTAAAAAGGATCAGGGCAAGAGGTTTTTAGATGAACCGACAGTTGTAGGCAAGTTTGTTGGCACTGCCCTTGTCGGAAGGTCTGAAGCCGAAAATGCCTGCCATCATGGACTTGTGGATCCTACAATAAATATGAAGGAAGCAATGAATGCGATTAACAATATGTTCCGTGAGCCACTTGAGGATGTTCCTATAGCCAAGAAATCACACAAAAACCGATCGAAGGAAGATCAATTTACTCCGAAGGGATTGGAGGTTTTTATTGATGAAAGCTCGGATAATGGAACCAAATCATCAGCTTCTCCATCTCTGCAGCACAACAATGAAGCAGGCCAATTCCATCAAGAACCACTTCAAATATACATTGATGATGAAGGGCCTGGTGAAACTAGTGACATAAACGATGAACAGAGTGGTGTCCGGAATCTGCCAGAAGATTTTACTTCCTCTGCTTCTCGATTGAATGCCTTTGTCTTTCCCCGTCCTAAGAACCTTCCTTCTGAAAGTTCTGGAGGTATGGATGCGCGGAGTTCCCGTAAGTCAAAGTTCAGAGAGGATACAGTTGTCCGCCGATTTGTTGGATCCACCATTTTGGATGAGCCAGTGGTAGAAAATGTTTGCCATCATGGTTTAGTAGACCCCACAATCAACATGAAGGAAGCTATGAATGACATAAATAACATGTTTGGGAAACCAATGGATTTTGTTAGACGGAAAAGATCGATGAAGCAGGAAAAGGCACCGGAGTGCAATAACAGAAAAGAGTGTGGTGGGTTTTCGATTCTTGCTGATGATGACTTGGAAAATAAAAAAAGTCCACAGCCTCCCAAACTGGCAGGGAAGTCAACGAATTCTGATTTATTTGAGCCAACTCTCATCACTAAGGAGGCAATGGACGACATAAACAAGATGTTCAATATGCCATTGAATTTTTAAGAGCAAATTGATTGATTGGTGATAGTGATATGTACCAAAAACTGCAAAAATATTGAGTTCTAACAGAGTTGCCTTTGATTTGCCTGGGGTAATCAAATGCGAGTTGTCTATTCTGTGGTGTCTTCCTCTTTCTGTCTTGTGCGAACCTTTTTGCTTATGAAATGAAACTCAAATTCAAGGGGAAAAAATTGTTTCATGATATTGCACTCTAGTTTATTACATGAATGTGACAAAAACACGGCGACAATTTCCTGCTAGATCAACATAATATAAAACAGCAACTGTCAAACATAATACTGAAACGGATCTCAATACAAATGTTTTAAAAAACAACCCTTCAGGCAACATTATTAGAATTGAGTAGTGTGAGAGCAATCATTGGGACGAAAAGCCAAGGGGCCAGCAGCATATATGACAGCCTCGTATCTGCTTCCATGCACTCTCTTGTTCTCATAACGAAGTGGAGCGCCATCGAGTGCATAGTTGACATTGGACAAAACGCTGCAACTTTCAACAGGAGACCAAACAAGCTTGGCGAAGCAAGATTGGAGGGGATGATCCAACAAACAGTTCTGAACCTTGAACCCTTCAAGCTGAGCAAAAAGGTAGCCATGCCTGTTCGTCTCAAAGACCTTGTAGTAGCTAACTTGACCCTTGTAGTTCTTGCAGGTAACACTTACTTTTGCACCAGCAATGGGCTTGGCTCCAGTCAAAGACCAGGTTCCATATTGGTCACAGCTCTGACAGTAGACCATGGCTTCCACTACCACCTCTGTTTTCTTCTCCGTTGGGGCATAGTCATTTGCTTCTGTTGAAGGGAAGACCACTAGGAGAAGCAGAAGAGAAAGGGTAATGAGGTGCATGCTTGCCATTTCTCGTAGTTTAGAGTTCAGAGCTGAGGGACGAGTGACTCATAGTGGAAGAGATGGTATGTATATATAGTTTAGTGATATTCGGGAGAACTGCTTGCAACGTGCCCCCCATTAGGCCAACGACTCTGATTCTTCATAGCTGTCTACGTGGAAGCCACCTTCAAGGTTTCTTTCTTTCTTTTTTTTTTTTTTTTTTTTTTGGTACAACTGAAAATAAAATAAAAAATTGGACTAAAGTGGGATTAATCCCACACAATCCTTCTCCACTAAGCTTCTCAGGCTGCTCGGGCACGTATCAAAATATGATGAGGTTGATAGTCCTCTTTTAGCCAATTTATCAGCAACTTCATTAGCATTTCTACTGATATAGCAGAGCTGCACTTCCCAGTCAAACTTCAATAACTCAAGTGTCTGCATCATTAACAGGCTGCAATACTGATTGTTCCTCCCCTGATTAATAGACTCAATCAGATTCTTTGCATCAGATTCAATAATAACACGTTTAAATCCAAAATCCCAAGCTAACTTCAAGCCCTTGAAAATAGCCCAAGTTTCAGCCTCCAAAACATTACACCACCCGAGTTGAAGCGAGAAACCCACAATCCAAATTCCATTATGGTCTCTAATGCATCCCCCACAGCCAGCTTTTTTCGAGCTATTCGACACAGCACCATCCACATTTACTTTAATCCATCCTTTTGATGGTTGCTTCCAAATAGTTGAGCTGTCCAACGGCTGTTCTCTCATGCCATAATGCAAACTTGTAGCAGCAAAAGTGAGGTTCGGCCATCCATCTCTGATTATAGCTACTGGATTAGCAGGTCTAACAAAAGTCTCATCAAAAGTTGCTTTATTCCTCCAGAGCCACAATTTCCAAACAGTAACTCCCCATGTCAGATTCCAATTATTATTTCTATCAGAACCCATATTTTCCTTGAGATTTAGAGCAATCCACTCTTTTAAAGTACCAGAATAAAAACTGTTCACCTGTTTGTTGTCTACCAAAACATCCCACACTGATCTTGCATAGGCACAGTCTCTAAGAACATGTAGAATACTTTCAGCATTTTGAAAGCAATAAGAACACATAGGGGAACACTGAGACCATCTACTTCTCCATAGATTAGTAGGAAGTCTACCATGGAAAATTCTCCAAATAAATACCCGAATCCTTTCAGCACCTCTCCATTTCCAAATAAGCTTATAGATTGGACTATAGAGAGTTTGGGGATTCTCCTCCATCATAAAATAAGCACTCTTGATGCTGAACATACCAGTGCTTGAGTCTTTCCATACTAAAAAATCCTCCCCAGCAGAATCAAAAGGAGGCATTACTCCCTTGAGTTTTGTCAAAACCTCAGGCTTAACAATAGATTCCAGCTTATGAAAATCCCAGTTACCACAAATCATCCATTCTGCCACCACGCTGCTGTCCTCTTCAATAGACAGAGGTCTTAAGCAGAGTTCTTTAACTTTCACATCATGATATAGCCATAAATCATTAAAAAAATTGACTGATTTCCCATTCCTCAGCTGCCACATGGATCCTTTCTCAATCAATTCTCGTTGTCTGCAAATAAATTTCCAAACACTGGAATCTCCTGGCCTAGCATCAAATAGATTTTCTTCATTATGCAACATATACTTCTGAAACAGTACATCAGTCCACAGGCCTCTTTCCCCTATCATTAATTTCCAGGCTAACTTTGCACCACAAGCAGAATTCATCGAAGCAAGTTTCCTGAACCCCAGGCCTCCATAAGACTTAGGGAGAGTAACAGATTGCCAACCTATAGGATGATAGCCTTGCTCATCCCTGTTATGACCCCATATGAAGTCTCTTTGTAGTCTTTCCACCTCATCACAAATCTTCTTAGGGATTTGGGAAACTTGCATAGGATAAAGAGGAATAGAGCTCAATACAGACTTAGCCAAAGTGATGCGACCTGCAGTAGACAAGCATTCCGCTTTCCAATTGGCTAACTTGTTTCTCACCTGGTCAACTATATATTGAAACTTTGCTGTAGGTTTTTTACTTTTTGTTAAGGGAAAACCAAGATACTTCCCTATTTCTGTTGACACTTTCATTTGTGTTGACTCTCTAATCCTTCTTCTAACATTTGCATCAACTTTAGGAGAGAAATATAAGGAAGATTTATCTCTGTTAACTTTCTCGCCTGAAGCCTGAGAAAATTGATCCAAAACTTCCATCATGCAAGCAACTTGTTTCTCAGAAGCAACTCCAAAGAGCAATAAATCATCAGCAAACATTAGATGAGAGATAGAAAGGCCACCTTTGGAAATGGAAATAGCTCTCCACTTACCTTCATCAACTGCATCACAGATAAGATGGGATAACCTATCCATACAAAGAACAAAAAGAAAGGGGGAGATAGGGTCTCCTTGTCTAAGACCTCTCATAGGAGCAAAGTACTCAGTTGTTGATCCATTCCACAACACATTATAGGTTACAGAGGTTACACAATCCATAACAAGATTCACAAATTTATCATCAAAACCCACATCATACAGTACAGTGCGAAGGAAGTTCCAATTAAGCCTATCATAGGCTTTCTCCAGATCAACTTTCATTGCTATAAGCCCTCTCTTTCCTCTGGCTTTACTCATTACATGAAGAACTTCCTGACCAATGATAATGTTGTCCTGTATAAGTCTTCCTTTGATGAAGCTGGACTGGAAAGGGGAAATTAAATCATTCATCACTGCTTTAAGTCTGTGGGTGATAACTTTAGTTAAGCATTTGTAATGCACTGAACAAAGAGAGATAGGCCTGAAGTGAGCAACTAGCTGAGGATTTTCTCTTTTTGGAATAAGAGAAATCAAAGTTTTGTTTGAGTCATCCACTTTTAGACTTCCCTGAAAAATGCCTTTGACAAAGCTACAAATAGAGGGGCCCAACACCTTCCAATTGTGTTGAAAAAAGATAGGGGAGAATCCGTCGAATCCGGGGGCTTTGTAGGGGCCCATAGCGAACAGCGCAGATTTAATCTCTTCATCAGTAGGCAAATTACTCATATCATTTATCAGATTGCGATCAACCTTAGGAAAATTGGCCCTCGTTTCTAGGTCATTATAGCTGGTGTCATTCGAAGAGAATAAAAGTTTGAAATAATCGACAACCATTTCTTTCAGTTCAGCATCATCATCCACCCAATTACCCTGTTCATTTTTCAGAGTAAGAATTTTATTCCATTTCCTCCTCTTTTGAGTTTTTAGATGATAATAACGAGTATTCCTATCTCCCTCAGTTAACCAATTTGATCTAGACTTTTGAAACCATTTGACTTCTTCCAACTTTAACACCTCCTCTAATTCCAACTGCAAGTTTGATTCAAGATCAGTAAGGAATTTTGATAGAGGATAGGCTGGAGATTTTTGAATACCTTCCAATCTAGCAAAAATATTCCGTTTCTTCAATTCTACAAAGCCAAAAACTTCCTTATTCCATACAAGGATGGAATCTTTAAAGTGAGACAAACTCCTATTAATATCATCATCACACTTCCAGGCATTTTCCACAAAACTATTGAAATTCTCATGCTCAATCCACATAGCTTCAAAACGAAAGGGTTTGTTCCCTCTAAAATTCAATCTTTCAGCATCAAGACACAAACTCAAAGGATTATGGTCAGAAAATTTTGTTCGAGCACATACCTTTATCAAATAATTTTGAAAAGAAGACATGAACATAGCATTGCCCAAGGCTCGATCCAGTCTCTCATACATCCGTGAGCACCCCATCATCTTTGGCCCTTTCCAAGTAAACTTAGGACCTTTAAATCCTAAATCTGTCAGCCTGCACTCTTTAATTCGGTCATTAAACCAACTCATTCTGTTGCTGTTTGGATGTCTTCCACCTATCCGTTCTGACTCCTCCGCAATGTCGTTAAAATCCCCAATCACCACCCATGGATCAGAGATACTTTGGGATAATAGTTTCAACTCCTCCCAAAGAATTTGTCGGAACTGTGAGTGGGGAATTGCATAAATGGCAGTAAGGAAAAAAGAAGGTTTCCCTGCGACTTTGCATTTTAAGTGTAGAAATTGTCTATCACTTTTATGAACTGAAATCTGAACAAAGTCACTCTTCCAAGCAACCGCTAGACCCCCTGACCGACCAGTACTTGGAACAGAGAAAAGACTGTCGAAGCCCAGTGAGTATAGACGCTGTAATTTTGAATCATCTCCACACTTTGTTTCTGAAAGCATAAGGAGCGCAGGTTTTGAGTTTCCAAAAATAGCCTTCAGATTCCGTGTGAAGTTGTTACCACCCACCCCCCTAATATTCCAATACATTATTTGATCCATAAACATTAAAAAGAAAACGGATCCAGAGCCCAATTAACACGACCCAATAATTAGAATTGGGTTTCAGGTACCATAGGCCCATCACTTTGGGTTTCCTTCTCAAATTCATCACTAGATGGGTTTACCAGCATTGGCCCACATTGCTGTACCTCAGGCCCTTTGTCCATCTCTGAATTTTCACCCGGATCATGAGGGAGGGGTGCAGTATCTTCGATATAATCCATCTGCTCTTCCCCAATGTTCTCATTCGAGATGTTATTATCTCCTTCACCAAAATTCCTTCGAGCTGAGCCCTCTTCTTCGGTTTCATCCAGTGTCAACATCAATAACTCGTTTGATCTCTTATGATTCACGAACATCTCACGAGATCTCTTTTCCTTCCTCCCCTGCTCTACCCGTTTAACGGCTTCTGTCACTTTCTCTGGGACCACCCCTGCAGCCGCGCCATTTTGCTTGTTACGTCTCTTACTCGCCACATCTTTTGTCTCACGCACAAATCGTACATTAGTGGTGGTAGCCTTAGCAAATGGTACGTTCTCCAGGACCGAAGATGCAGGGATTGCATTATCCTCTATTTCTTTAGTTAAATTATATTGATTATTTTCCACGTCAGCTAGAATTTCGAACCTCGTCCCTGAGCTTGGTTGCCGGAAAGCTCCCCCTGCCTTCTCTTTCCCCCTCCTCTGTCGCCGGTTTTTTTGCACAACCTTCCATACTTCCTGATCATTATTCCCAGCTCCATCAATATCCATTCCAGCTTTTTGTACACCCTCAGCGCCCCTATTCTGGTTGCTGTCATTTTGCTCTGTAGATTTTCTCGATGGACATGTCTCGTTGCGAT